AATCTTAGGACTAATAGTGGAAACAGAAGCTGGTACTTGGGACTAGAGGCAGCACATTTGGAATCATTTAGAGTCCTCATATGCAACAGAAATAATAAATTGGGAGAAAAATATATAACTTTTGTTCTATAGTGATATCTTCATATAATATAAAGAGTACTGATACTTTTGGGTCAAGAGGCTGACCCATAATGTTCCCTTCCTACAACAAAGTCATAAGTATTTTGCATTTAAATACACATTCAAACACATGTACAAAGCCATATTTGAAATTAAAAAAGGTACATCATCATGTAGCTGAAACAGAAAACCCAGAGTAATAAATGGGAACTGAAGGTCCATAATCCATAGGGAATTGGAAAAAGATGGAGTAGGTCTTTGGGCCTGTAGTCTTGTAACACTTACGTGGCAGGGCCTTAAGCTGAGAACTGTATGTGGATTGAGGATGGAACTGGCCTCTCATTTGGAAACAGAAAGCAAGATTGGTGTGAATGGGGTCTAAGATATTTCTTTCCATTCATCTGCATAGAAATAAAAAATGAACTATCCACTCTGATAAGGGTGGACATAGATTTACATTTATGAGGCCAAAAACTTTGTCTAGGCATAACTGCATCATTCTATCCAGGGGAGAACCCTGAGCAAAGAGATTATTAGGATCACAGTGATCACAGTTTCCTTTGGGGTCATGGTATGGGCAATTGCGAAACCTCTCTCTCTCTCTCTCTCTGTGTAAATTAATGTTTCTGTTGATCATTTTTCTATTGAGCTGTTCATCTTTTCTTTATTAATTTATAAACCTTCTTTAATAAGAAATATAGGAGGCATTCATGTGTCATAAAGTGTACATTTTTTTTTCTCCTATTTTGACTTTTGCTGGTTCTGGAAAAATCTTGTCTAGTATCATACATCTGTTATTCTTTTTGATGGAGACTTCAAGAACTGAGTCTTCCTAGAATAGTAAATGATTCCTAAAATTATTCCTATCTTCTTCTCTCTTGGTATTAATAGATATTCTCTTGTTGTTTAGGGATAAAACTGATACAACTGTCAAATTACAAGCTTTGTGATTGATATGGACACTGTCTGAAATTCTATATTCTACAGCAGCAAGGATTCTTCAGGTAAATATTCTTTATATTTTTCATATCCTATACTTTACCTATAATCTCACACCTCCAAAATTATAGAATTATCCTTAGGGTAAATGAATTCCCTTTTATTGTTTCAAAGAGGTCATGCTGCTTTCTTTGATGGTGAGTAGCATGCTGCCTGCTAGATTATTTCCTAAAATAACCCAGTTCATATTCTATATTGCAAACATTCCTCAAATTTTCTAGAATTTGGGAACTTTTGCTAGCTTTCAATGGTAATATAAATTTTCCCTTATTTTTCCATTTCCATTTTCATATCTATCATGATTAATGAGGATCAGGTGGAAAGAATACAACACCTATAATTAATTATTTGACATCTTTATCTTGAATAGTTTATATCCCATAAAGCCATATTTATTAAACTTACTAATTATAGAATTAATCAGAGCACATAAACAATTAAGTAGGAGATTCAATTTAAAACTACTAACATGTTCACACTTTAAAAATTTTCAGAAAATGTTGTTCTATTATAAATACATTGAAGTAAATATTACTTCCTAAGAGTCCTTTTTTGCATTGTGAATATTCATTAGGGATAATTTTATAGGAGGTTCAAATTATATGAAATTAAAAATACTTTTTCATGCATATTGAAAATTTATGTTATAATAGACAATATCTTCCTTCACATTATTTGCTTTCCCCTCCTAGGGGAGGATTATACATCACTGTGCCATCAGTGGCAATTTGACCACATGACCTGCCATAGCAGGTCTCTGCCTGGCTGAGAGATTATATCCTCTTCCCCAAGCCCACAACAGGCTTGTGTGGATGATGTGTTGTATTGTAGATAAGACATTATGAACATAAGTGACATAAACAACACTAAGGATCCAGCTTAAGGATGCATCCTCTTGTTTCTACTTCTGTGGTTAAGACTGGTAATGTTTCCAGATAGAAGTTGTTACGTCAACCTGGGTTGTAAAATGAAAACGATGTGGAGCAGAGCTGTGGTCAACCCAAGAAAGATGGGTGGGAGATGTGAAAAATAAATATGTTTTTTAACCATCTCTGGGATCCCAGATCATTAGTTACCATAACATAACCAAGACAAAGCTAACTTATACAGTCCTCAAGAAGAGTTGCATCGATTTAACTCTAAAAACCAGGTATAAATGTGATTATTAAAAGTTTTGTGTCAACTTGGCTAGACTGTGGTGCCCAGTTGTTTGGTAAAGCATTAGCCTAGATGATGGAATGTTCCTGTGAAGATATGGGTTTAATACATAGAAATCCTGCCTGAGTTTCCAGCCTGCTGGCCTGACCTACAAAATTTGGACTTTTTAGCCCTCACAATCAGTGTGAGCTAATTTCTTAAAAGAAATCTTACACACACATGCACATGTACACATCCTAATGGTATTGGTTCTGTTTCTCTGAAGAATCCTGAACCACACAATAAGTATCTTAAATTGTAGATTTTATGCAAAATTCTATTCTAAATTGACTCAAAGAAATATAGCTGATAGATATAGAAAAATATACCAAGGAACTATTGAGATAAACTCTGAGGAAGAGGCTTAGATAACACACTAAACTTTCACATTTGATATAGTACTGCCAATACTATAATTTCTCTTCTAGGGCATGAAAAAATACAGAAAACTATCTAATAGTTTTATGACAATATAAATCTGATAGAAGAATCCTGAAAATAACCCTCAATATTAAACTATAGATGGTTGTCAAGTATAATAGCAAATGGGAAAATCCTAAATAAGCCAATAGGAAATCACATCCCAAAATGTATTAAAATAATTTACAGAGCAACATCAGTTTAAAATTAGTAAGATAATTTTTAGACTGTCTTTTTTATTTCCAATATTCTAGGAAATTTTCACGGTGTCATATGCTTGTCCATATATTGCCCTTGGTTTTTCAGCACACTGGTTCAGTGACATTTATTGAGGCTTGTGGGTATGGTTCTGTGAGGTGAGATAAGTATGTCTTAGTGTCACATAGAATCCTCTATCGTGAGGCAGGAAAACAAAAACATATTTGGCAGACCACTGTACTAATTTGTTCTGCAGATGTGTGTCTTAGGTTTCTGGATGAATTAATTAACCTTCCTCATCTCTTCAGGTACAGTTCTTGTAGATTTTCACAGAAAACAAGCTTAGCCCATCTGTTTTGTGACTCTCACAGGACTTTCATCAGGGAGTAGCACAAATTTAACTTCTCCTGTCTCCTAGAGTAAATATGAGCATAAGTGATTATGGTATAAAGGTGATAACCAAGTCAATGTGTCAAGTTATTTGACATATATATTTACTGGAGAATTTCTTACTTTCAGATATATATGGCAAATGATGATGATGATGATGATGATATAATGAAAATTACATTTGATATTTATTTAGAGCTTCCTATTTATTTAGAACCAGGCACTTCTTTACATATATTAACCCATTTAATTTGCAAAATGATCATACCTCTAGGGAAGATAGTGTTGTTACGCCCATTTTATAAATGAAGAAACTGAGGCACAAAGATGTCATATAACCTACCTATCATCATGTAGATTCTATCGTCAATATCTACTAGTTTCTATGTTAGATTTGTTCTTAGAGGCAGGAACAAGAAACTGATTTTTTTAATGTCATGAAAACTGTAAGTTAAGCACACATACATATATAATACAATACTTTATATTTATTTTTAGTATATATTTATGTATGTACTGTTGCTGTCTTCTTTATAATCCTTACTTCTACACAGTACACTGTAGTATGAAAACTCTAAATTTTATCAAAATTGGAGAGATTTGTATGCAGAATAAGAACCCATGTATGGAATGCGACATGGTACTTAGGGTATTATTCTGCACTTACCCTTTTTAATATTTTCTCTTTTGTTCTCTGATGAAAAGTGAGTGAAGTATGTATAGTTTCCCATGTTAGAAAAACACCATAGTATTTAGAGACTATGGTCCTTGCTGTTTGAGTATTCTGTTAATCATTCTATTTTGTTTTTGAGATACTTAGCTTTGTGGATTTTCTTGCAGGAACAAATCCAAAAGTAATGGACAGATATAGAGACACAAGTTGATCAAACTCAACGTGAAACTATAGAAGCTTACATACCTTTGCACAGTCACAGCATTACACATGGCTAGTTACAGACACCAGATTTCCTGATGCGAGAAGTTACTAATGATCTGACAGAAAAGACTTTCAGAGGTTGAAAATTCTAAAAAGCATGAAAAGTTTTATATAATTATTTTAAAATTCAAACTTAGTAATACTTTTAGTAAGTAACCTTCATTAAAATGTGTAAAGTTGCATGAAACTGAGACAACTTGTAAAAATATACAGCATAAAAATAAAGGGCTTTTACAAGCTTGAAATTCTCCTCTCTCCCAACCTATCCTGAATAACTCCATTTCTAGATGTCTGAATTTTTCACTACTCATGTTACTTTTTAAGAGTCTTCTTAATATTTTAGAGCGAGCTTGAAGAAACCTTAAAAAGATTTAGAGAGTACAGAACTTCACTTCATGGATAATTGAAAAAAGTCCAGAGAGAATGAGTGACTTGTCCAAAGCTCTATTATGGATTCTTCTATTGTAGAAGAACCAAGTCTAGAATCCAAATGCTTAATTCTTACTCTTGTTGGATCATCTACTTATTTGTAAGCACTGTGACCTCTGATAAACAATTTAGCATTTTGGAGAATAATCTTGAAATCATAATTTAAATAAAAATTCAATAATCTTACTAACTGGAGGCTCAAAACTTCAACAAATACCATGATCGAGGGTAAGAAATTGTGAGGAAAGTGAATAATACAAGTTTGATGTTGAAAGCAATTTTTAGTCATGCATGTAGGAACTGAGATGGCCAGGAGGCAATTTAAGGATAATACTTGGAGACAGTGAAGAAAATAAACCACCCACAGCTCTATTACTAATCCTAAGATCTAAAACAGTTTTCCATTTTCTCACTTTGCTTGGGATACTCATCATTATTTTTTAAATATTTTATCCATTATTCCACCTAAATACCAAAGCTCCTGTCCTCACATGTCAAATCAAACCACTGATGGTTTTCTGTATTTTAAAGATAATTTAAAAGATAATTATCTTTTTAAAGATAATTTAACAAATAGGCTTATCATTTCTGTCTTATTGTTTGCAAACATCTAAGTGGTGAAAGTGAGTGGCTATACTGGGAAATTTAGTAAACATAATGCTAGAGTTTGGGTTGATTTTTAAAATCTGTTATATCACATCAATTGAGAATGTACAAGTAATTAGCTCAATGGTAAGCCTTAAATGTAGATATTAATAGAATGCTTAAGTATACAAGTACTGCTTAGCAATACACTTGCAAAATCCATGATCTGGAAGAGTTTGCAAAGTTCCAAACCACACACCAAATTATGAAAATATATGAGGTCAACCCTTATGGAACAACTGTAGATTTTCAGTTATAGAGGGTATTGATTTCTCTCATTTTTAGTGATTTTTGAAATATTGAAGATCAGAAGATATCTATCATATTTTTTTTTAATTTGAAAAACAGTAAGATACAGAATTACACAGGGAAAGGAGATGGCAAATAGAAGATGCAAATATTATTCAGACCTATTTCTCATATGGTTATTTTTATAAGGCCATATAAATGATCTTTAAAGGTGACAGAAATACATGAAATTAACAAGGTGAGCACGGATGCAGTCAAACATAAGCTGCATTGAGTGTATTATATATACATTGAGCTTAGCTCTTACATATTTTGTACAGTACATTCATTTTGTTTTAACTGACAACATTCTTAGTTTTCTTTACATTCAATATTTGTTTATTAGCAACAACCCAAAATGTTTCCTCTTATAAATATGAAATAATCAATTATTTCAATGTAATCTCAAGGAGCAATAATGTATTAATTAGTCAGTGGATTAGTCCTTGGTGATTTTCATTTTTTGCCATCCACAACATTTTCACAGAGAAGTAT